GGATGATCCTTTAAATGTAGACGAACTAGACCAAGCCTTGGATGACGTTGATGTCGTCAAGATATAGTAGCCCTCTACGAATTGTAGACCTCCTGTCAAAAGTGATCGATTTCTTGAGGCTACTAATAAATAAATGACCGATGATTATTAGTTAGTTAAACGCTATCACTGCTTACCAAAAAACCGGTTTTATACAAGATGGCTGAAGAAGACTCGGATAACATGGGAGTGACGCTTTACCCGGCAGACTACGAAGTCGTTGAAATGGTCACAGACCAGGGCAAGGAGATCCTCCAACAGTAATTTCATACACTTTCTCCACGTCAATCGTTGTAGTTGTAGAGCTAAATACTAAGTTTTATGTATGAAGGGAGTTTACAGAGGATCAACTTTTCTTGCATTCGATTCAAGAGCTTATGCGCGTGCGCGCAGGTATAAAGAAAAATCAGAAGACGGAGAATTTAACTGAAGATCAGTCTGGTAAAATTAAAACTGAAGACGCCGATGGGTCAATTGACATTAATGATACTGTCGAAAAGCGAGAGTTTGTAAATGTCGATGAGGACGATGTCATTGACCCGAGAAATTACTACCGTCCAATGGTGATAGAACTTCAAGCGGCAGTCGCAGAGCTGCACCAACTTATTAACTCAATTGATCTGATCAGACGCCGCGAGTTTCTGGAGGAAATGCGCTGTATTCGAGAAAATACGGCACTACAAAAAGAGGAACTTGAACATGTTGTGGAGTCGAAACGGGCACAGGTAAAGGAAAGTGGCACGATTTTACTGGATGGCGTTAAAACTATAGCCAAAACAGTGAAAAAGGAAAGTGTTTTCTTTCTGGGTATCACGCATATGCTGCGCAAATGGAAAATTTGTGCACCTAATCACGGGAACATTCCTAAGCCATTTCGTGCCGGTGAGCCTCTAGCAGTAGACTGCAGCTATGGTAGTGGTAAGCTTTCATGTGCATGAAGGTTTGGTTGGCAATTTTGTAAATGAAGCGCCGTTGTACTTTTACAGCGGGATCATCATTTGTGCCGCAGTCCCAGTCAATTGCTGATATGGCGTATGCCGAGGTACTTTCTTAGCCACAGCTGTTGTAAATTAGCTCACAAGGGTATTTTTGTTGTAGCTGAGTCGCACTGAGAGGGGGTTTGTCCGTGTGAAGACCCCAGAGAATTTTCTGGCTCGCACGATTCAGGTAAGGGTGCAAGCCATTGTTTTGTTCTTGTTAAATGGACTCAAGTCTTGGTTGTGTTTCATCACGAGTAAGCTTACATTGAAAGCAAAGGAAACCGGAAAGCTAGGTAAATACACATTACCGTTCCCAACTCTTATTAATGTGTAAGATTAGCTGCTTTTTGAAGTATGGTAAAAAAAATGTTTTCACTTGAGGTTAAATGCAGGACCAGGACAGAGATGGATGCATCAGACAATACACCTGAAGATTTGAAGGTTTTGGAGGAGCGCAACTTGTCAATTCTCAAGGCTGTCCAGTTCTCTGTGTTCTGCGAAGAATTATTCTACACACTGATGAAGGAAGCGCTCCAATACACGTCAAAATGGTCAGACACAGCCTATAATATCAGCAATCATACGATAAAGAGGCAGGGTAAGGATGAAAACCGTCTAAGGGACACGCATTTTTTGGTGTTGCAAGTGATAGATGATGAAGTTCAGCTTCGCGTTAACGAGCGATATGAGCTGACTATGAGGCTTATAGACGTTAAGAGTTTGACAAAGGACAACAATTTGGTAGCGGGGAAAGAGAACGATGGAGAAAAAATATTAGGGGCTGTCGATGAAGAGCATTCAAACGACTCAAATGTGAAACAAGAAGATGGAACTTCACAACTGGCAGGCAGCTCGAGCATGCCGCGACGTGTTGCCTCCATTCCATTTGAAACCTCTGCTGACAGCGATGAAGCGTTCCTGACACAGACTTGCCGTTATACAATTTTGTTGCTGCAGCAAGAAATTTGGACCCGTTACGGTCGGAACGGTATCTCCCGAGCACTGTTGTACACTGGCTTGGATTTTTCGACAATACCTGGAGGTGGTGTAAGCTCTAGCAAGTTGGGTTTAGGTGCTGTCCATATGACTGAGATGGACAAGCCTGATTATGAATCAGGAACATTGGCGACCGCTATGAAGGTGCTCGCACATACCTTGCTAAAAAGCGAAGTGGCACGATACTTGGACGGCCTTTCATCGGTGCTAGCTTATCAAAAGTTTCAGGTGTCATCATCGGGTCGCGTCCTAGACGACGGTTTGTTTCAGCCCATCTGTGACTCGATGCGCGGCATTTACGTGGGTCCTCGGTGGAAAACGTGCGCATTTGACTCGACGTTGTCAGCCTTTGATTTGCATATTGGCAAAAACTTCTCAACTGAGGTCCTTATTTCCGGAGCTCAGATTATTCTACAGACAGGGATTGCATCACAACGTGAGTTGTCCGGTGTGGCAGGACTTCGCGAGTTTGTGGAGACAGCTGTTTGCTCCGAAGTTGCATCGGCACTATATCGCGATGCCGTGTCCTTTGGCGTCAAACAGAGTTCGATGAATCTGGACCGATCTAGTGTCCGCCTCGTAGTCACAGGCGAATGGGACGGCAGTTGCATTGGCGAAGGCCGTGTGTCCGATGCACGAGCAGTCAGCTCCATCTTCCTGGAGCCCTACTTTGCTTTTGATGGTAGTTTGACCATCGACTGTTTGCTACAGTCCGTCGATGCGAGCAAGCTAGCGCCATTGTGCCACTCTGTAGCCGATGGGGTGCACAAGATAAAGTGGAAGCAAATTCCTGGCTCGAATGACTCGGTTAAAATGCTCTGGCTTATGCAAAAGACTGGTGTGTTGTTGGATCCTCTTCAAGTGTCGATTAAGTCAGAGGTGCCACAATCTGATGACAACTAAATCCCCCTGATCACAGTGGCGTCAACATGCTATTAATTTGCCGAATGGAACGCCTAACTTAATACATTGCAATCGTGTTTTAGCTACTTCCTCAGTTTGTCAGCCTCGACTAAGCATATTTTAGCAAATTTTACGTGCAATAACAGCTTAGATGCGGCAAGGACGCGGCACTGGGTCGGTCCCTGTTATGCGCTTAAAGATGGCGTCTAGTTGATCTGCCACAAGTTCGTAGCCGCCGTTTCCATCTAGTGCGCGGTGTACCTGCTCATTTAGACCGCCAGGCGTGGCAGCCTCATCGGCCATTTCACCAAAGCTTTCATTCGATTGGGTGCCAGCCGTAGCCAGCGTGTGAATGAATGACGCAATGAAGTTTCGCGAAGTTTGATCGTCTTGGGATGATAACATTACAAACAGCAAGAAAGTAAGTTTGCCAACTTTTCAAGTAACTGCAATAGCTACACTCACCGACACCATTTTTGACACACCACTTTTGCGCGGTATCGCACGTGGCGTAGAAGAAGGAGATAAGTGCAGTGATGCCAGTAAGCTTGATAATCTCTGCTTCTTGTGCAACCATGACAGGTGTACCAATCTGTGCAAACAAGTCACGGGCGTAGGCATTGTCTGGATAGGCCAGTATGGGACCCGAACGCTTGGCAGCAGCGGGAAGCGGCACACAGCGCACGACACACTCCGTAGGCTGCTGGACAAGTTGCAACAGCTCGTCGTATCGAATGGTGGCCATCATAGATACCACTTTTTTCCCAGAAAAGGAAAGCTTGAGCAGCTCTTCGCGCGCAACATCAGGCAACAGCCCAATGAAGATTACGTCGCTCTTATCCACAATTTCCTGGTTCGATGCGCTGATACACACACGGCTTGGGAACTTGACCGCGAGTGCGTCTGATTTAGCGTTAGTGCGCGCAGACACAAACACGCATTTAGGTTGCCATCCGTTATCGCTGCAAAAACCAGCGACAACAGCAGAGCCGATCTTGCCTGTGCCTAGTAGACCTAGTGTTGTGTCAGCAGAGGGCGCCATGATTGGCAATATCTGTACTTGACTTGCAGAGAGTGTGAGTTTTCAGTAGGATTTATGCTCGAAATCAAGCTATTTTTTGAGAGGAATATATCTTAATATTTCAAGATACAACCCTCTCCAAATGCGAAAATCTGTATATTATTTCTACAGAACTCGCCTTTGGTTTGTGTCGATTCCGTAGCAATTCTCTCCATTATCGTCGAGTCACAAAATTTGCTGCAGCTGCAGCTGCTTTGAGCGCTCGAGCGTCCGTGAGACTCTTTTTTCGTAGAATCATAGTGCATCAGGGTGACCGCATACTTTGCGTATATAGAGCTCGACTCAAAGGGTCTGTCTGCTTATGTAACACACAGCGATTGGATTCATTACGATGGGCTAGAACTAAGTATTTTAGAACTTCATTTACCGATTTAATATGAACTTTGCGGAGGATTTAAATGGTTTCTTGCATTCCCAACAACAATCAGAACGTGACTTTAACAGCAAGACCAAACGAACATTGACATTCACGTATTTTGCCTTCACTATTGTTATGAGTTAACTAGCAATTCAAGCTGCACTCAACAACACTACATCGAATTGGTTGTGTTGTCGGACTGCTTCTCATGCTCATATCAAAGCTATTGTAACAGTGTTTGATGATTGTGACGACGATTGATAAACTTCACTAAATGAGCTATTCATCTATAGCCACGCTACGAAAACATCGCCAAGAAGCTGACGATCAAAGCGCGTTAAGTTTTCATAGTCGTCACTATCGTACGTTTTGCTCGCCGATAATGCTAAATCGGGAGGCGTCAATGAATGACGAATTGACATCCAGAATTGCGGTCACATTCCCAGAAATATCATCATTTCAACAGAGAGATTCGTCTACGGAAGACCGGAAACCGGCCAAGAGAAACTATTCAATATTAATAATAAATTTGATGATTTTCACATCTACAGACTGTCGAGTGGACATAAAACTAACTATTTTCATGATTATGTTCTACTATAGTCATTGATAATTTATCTGTAGAGCTTGACGTGAGGCGGTTCAGAACCGCTGGGGTTTTTACAGACCAGGTAGTGCAATAGCAAAGCGCCGTGACCTTTGGAGAAAGTTGGTATATATATCCCTCGAAAGATCCCACAAGTAACAATTAATGAATATTACAAATCTCACCTTGGTCTTCAGTGGGTCACAAGATGGTGTGATAACACAATGGAGTAGGTTACACAAGCCACTACGTGACTGGACTACCAGTAGATATGCATTTTAATAAGGTTTTACTATTTAATCAGGAAAACCTAGGGATTTAGATATAGGCGGCTCTGCCGCAAATAAGACCAAGAAATACAGTTTACATGTTAGACGGAAAGGTTTATTTGCCTGGGGTTAAGGTTGTGTTTACTCTTGAAATGAGCGGATTGCGATCCGCTACACTCATATTGGGGACTAGTATAGAACATAAGGTCGGCGATCTTAGCTTTGCTTCCTCCTAGCAAAGAGCTACAACAGCCCCGCTGCAGTGGAAGTGCTGTGGCATCCCGCCACGGGCCCCCGTCAATGCCCTGCTCGTCAAAAATGAGCTATATCTGGATGAGAGAGCCAAAGTTGCTGCAAAAGCTACAATGACTTTTGCAGTCATGGATACTTTTCGTTGGGGTGGGGCCCTTACACGCCTGGGGCCCATCGCTCACATAATGGGTGAAACGAGCTCCTTCTTACTCTACAGATCCCCAATTCCGAAGGTACACCCCTCCGCTCAATCAGGGAAGCCCGACCTTCTTATGAAGACTGTTCGTGTGGATTAGATGCGGGCAAAAGTGCCATTCAATATGTAAATTGAGTAAGGAATACACGTCTATTCAACAATTTTACAGCTTTGCAAGTAAGCTTCAGGAAGCAGACGGCCGAGCAGAGCGTCATGAAATGTTTGAATTTGCGGGATAAAAGCACGATGCGGACGTTGTGGTGGTAGTTCTACCTTCTTTTTCTACTGTATACAGCCTCGCTCATTTTTCGAGACAAATTAGTGGATACTGATTACTTCTTGAACTGCATCAATTTTTGTCTTCTCTCGCTGGAGGGAAGTGCGCAACGCTGAACAGTCCTGCCATTTCGCTAGAGGAGATGAAAACCAAAGATGCACCAGAATCTACGACGCCAGAGCAATCGTATTAAAAAGAAGGTTGGGTTGCCATTGGATTTCAAAAGTGAAGGCATTTATTAGATTGAATAAGAGCTGTGGTGTACTCGCCGGCTCATTATCAAATTCGCGTGAATGAGGATCATTCCTTGCTCACCGAGCAATGTCTGTAGAGGGAGACTTTTCCGCGATCAGATCACGTAAACTTTAATGGTCGTTGCATACGTGGGCATTATAAGTCGTTGCATCACGTGGGCTGAGAGTATCGACGTGCGTTCAATTTAGATGAGGCAGATTTGAATGCGCTCTCTGAGCTGCGCAATCATCCTGCGTGGCTTGGGGGTATTAAAGGACTTGTATTCACTCTAGCAGAGAGTGGTTAAGCATTAGGGATAGAAAGGCACGTTTGTTTATGCTAAACATAGCGATACGAATATAAAAATTAGATTATGTTATGGCTTTGACAAGTCCACGTAGACCAGAGATTATCTTCACATTTTCTTTGAGGTTTAAGAGTATCGCACTCCACGTTTTGCTATAATCCTTAATAGTACAAAGTGGCATGGTCGCAATTTAGGCTAATATCACAGATATGGCATCTGTAGTTTGGATAGCAGCAAAAACCTTTTTCCACAACACTAATCATGTGTGCTCGTTTGCATCCTAAATCGGCATGTCACTCATAAACCTCCTGGTTTTCAGCCATTGCGTCGCACACTTGGCGCACGACTCACTAAATCATAGTGTCTCATTTTGCCGCGAAGTGCAGCCAGACTGATTCCGGCAAATTGAATTGTAACGACAACCTCCCCCTGGAGCCACTACCGTGTGAAAGAAATCTGTTGGTAAAAAGATTATAAAACATGTAAGAGTCTGTGCGACATGCACTGCGTTCTCAATCGTAAACAATTAACGAGAGAACTCGTTGAAGTATCATAATATCTCGGAGCAAATTCTTCAGAGAACATTTACCACGCGGCTCACGTATTCTGCTTGACAATTGGTCTGCAGATGGTCGGTGGTTACATTCATAATCTATTGCTTACTAATTAAACAAAGTTTGCTATCGCTTCGCGGCAAAACGTAAATTCTCGATCAGATCCAATGGCTATCTGCCAGTCATGGTGACGAACTTTTGTTGACAACCATATTCATCGGTTACGGTGTTGTTGTCAGCAGCGAGATAAGCCATTTTCTCTGGCAGACCACAAGATCGGAGTGCCAGTATTTCCGAACACGGGATTTTGAAGAACAAAACAATAGTTCATAATTATTGATTGCCTACTTCTCCACAAAAGCGGAAGGACGGGCGAAGACACGCGTCCTGTTGACACCTCTCACACGTGCACACAAGTTCTAAGATCCCCTCATGCATATTAGGCCACCAATACAAAGTATTCAGAGACAATTACGTCTCCTCTCTACTGAGGTCACAGCTTAAAAAAGGTGTGTGCCGTGCCTCGACTAGTATTCGGTACTTAAGATGCTTATCGTGAGTTTTCACTGTACGTTGAGTCAGTGCTATGATACAGCAAGCCTTTGGATTAGGTCTATCGAAGCAAACGTGCGTCCGAAGCCTTCGGTAAAGTGGCATCTGACTTCTCAAACCATTGCTGCTCAAACTTTGGGCACTGAAACACATGTTGCGTTCGACCCGAAAGCTGTACGATTCGCTTCATAAAACAATGAGGTCATAGTCGCGAAATGCGTTAGTTCACAGTTGGGGTGACGAAGATTCGCATTCGCCATCAAATGAAGCATGTATGACTCATACCTTTCGCAGCGGGGCTGCCCTGGCTCTTTCGCTTAGAGGAAGCTTTATTAAGGTCGATGACTTTCGTTCTATACTTAAAACCATTTCGAGTGTAGCGGATCGCAATCCACTTACTCCAAGAGTAACCACAACCTTATCTTAAGGCTAGTTAGCTCTTTTTGATTAGGTTTTATTATTTAATTAGGAAAACCAAACTAACATGCGTAATTGCTGGCAGTCCCCGCCACGAAGTGGCTTTATGTTGAGGTGTAGCCACACCATTGTGTGGTCTTCTCTGGTCGTATAATAACCACTCGGCTAAGTCGCTTGCCTTCAAGGCACCACCGAGCTCTTCGAAGGACATCTCGTCCAGCTTAAAAAATGCATCCGCCGCAAAAATAGGCTCGAGGGTGACGTCGCCATATTCCTTCCCCGTCCAACCGTTGTCATGAATGTATCGGTAGCCACATCCTTGGTCAACGCCCGGCGTCTTGCAGCTAGCATACGGCGTTTTCATCGGCTGTCTACAGAAGCTGTTCGTCTCGGCGAGACCGGTGGAAATACGTACTCAGCGTCGTCCAGTGTTATCCCCCACCGGAAACGTGATATTACTAACAACATCCGACGACGAGCAGCTATTTCCGCAGTCTTTGTCCAGTAGATAACGTATTACTCCACGCACGTCTACTGGCGGTGGCATCATAGACTCAAATGAAGCAGACATTCTCTGCTGCAGGTGCTCTAGCAGCGCGTTCATGTATTTTGAAAACGCCTCTAGACGCGCACTGATTGCCTCGGGGCCTTGCGCAGCGAAGTATTGCACGCCCTCAGGTCCCAGCAAGGAAATTAGATTTTTAAGCCCATCTTGCATGCCCTGGTGCAAAGAGGAAAATTGTTCCATCCTCATCGAGGATCAGTCTAAACGACTCAGGTGTATATCGACTACAAGTGCTACCAAGCTCAGCGGCGCTGCCGTAGCTTTGCGCTTTGAGGAGGCGTATGTTAGGTCACCAACTTCTTGTTCTTTAGTCAGAACAAGTACGAAGTAGTAGTTAGCGGATCGCAATCCGCTTACTCCAAGAGTAATTATTGCCTTAATTTAAGGCTAACTTCCTCTTTCTTTTAAATCCATAACTGAATTTATTTATTTTAACTGTGGCAAAGCCGCCTAGTTTTAAATGCATAGATTTTCCTGAATATGTACAGTAAAATCTAAATGCATGTATAACTACTGGCTAGTCAGCCCGTCCCGTATTCTTGTTTGGGTGTGGTCACACCAAGCCCATTTGGTGTGACACACACCCTCGTTACACAGGGCATCCAGGGTATGTGTAACCCCGTTACACATACACTCTTATCAAGTTCCATTGATATCTCATGCATGTTTACCGAGACGCTGTCAACCCCCGCACAGTAAATTCTGGAGTGGGGCAACCGGGGTTGACCTTCTAAAGCAGGGACCTTTTAGACTAGACAGTGTCAAAATGAGAGGCTAAAAGGTGTATCATCGCGAGTGGTATCATCAAATTCCATTGACGTCACTATCGCGTGCTTTTCGAGTTGTTTAAGGTCTCATTAGCTAGATCCTTCTGCATTTCTGGCAAGAATTTGTTCTGTTTGAGGCCGATGGTGAATCAATTGAGCCTCGTCCACCGCGTTTGCTTCTAATAACTGGCGCAACGGTCTTCGGTCACGGCGATCGGCTTAGGACGAAACCATTCATTCCGAGCTTGAGCGCGTGTGGTGAAGGCCGGGGTCGACTCAGAAACTATTGGATCGACTGAGCGCCACGAGGCCTAGCCGAGTAGAGTAAACCACCCAGCACAAATATTCGCAGGCGTTACCGCCCACAGTCAAGCCATCGGGACGTGTCGACGTATTGAATTAGATGTGAGTAATTTCAGACGTCTTCCAACGTTTTGAAGCTCGGCTCGTGAATATATTACACAATGACCTACAACTGCCAACTAGAAACGCGTCGAAGGGTTCTCTGGTGACTTGATCGTTGCGCATACCCAACACGTCGATATAGAACGCATCTGCGAGCGGTCTGAGCGATTCGATCAATGGTGTACTGCCTAATATTGGCACCGCTGATCTGCCGAAGGTCTCTTATTATCTTCGGACCTCGAGTACTGGGCCACTGAGCCTTAAGGCTGCTGGTGAGTGATGTTTCCGGGGTCAGTAATTGCTCGAGCCACGTCCTGTCTTTTACGGCCGCGAGGCCGAAAATCGACGTCTATCGCGGAACTTTGAACAGAGATGATAATAATCGGGTGTAACAGCTGTACGGTGCGTCTGGATTGGTTTTTGGCTGAGCGGCTGTTGACGCGGCAAAAATCATAGCGGAGCCTCGCTCCCCTTCAACGTCCTTACGCCTGCAACTATAGAAATCGGTAGCAGAAATTGTAACCTGTAACACAATCAAATCTGCGGCTCAGTAGAAAGGCTGGCGCTACCGCGGCGGCCTCTTTTGTTGCCTTTATTAGGGCCCAGATATTGAGTTCTAGATAGATCCGCTACAGACTCGTCGCGGCCTGCTTCGGCCAGGTGAAGATAGCCCGCGCAGAACGAAGATATAGGAATCGCAGGCGTCGCCGCATCTTCCTGAGGTCGCCAAACAAAGATCATCTTATAAGAGGGACCGTTGATAGTTGCACCGCTTTGGTGGGGTGAACCTCAGACGCAAATAAGAGTATATGTTGAGGTGGTGTGCACAATAACGACAATTGATGAGACTCACATTGTACTTAAGGTAAATGAAGTACAGGAATCTTGGTAACTTCGAAAGTTACGAAATCTAAAAAAGCGGGGTTCGAGTTATGCGTAGCGCAGTATTTCTATAAGAACTAGTGAGTTGCTTAGAGCAAACTCACAGCGTCTATATGTGATGGACTCTCGGCTCGAGTGCTGATATGAGCGCAAAATCCAACCTTTGGGCGCTTGTCAAAGTGTAAGGCAAACATTGGCAAAACAAGCTAACGGGTCGCGCGATAGACCAGCTGTGTGTCAAGCGGGTTTGAAATGTGATACGGCAAGCCTTACGATAAAATTGTAAAATAAATGCGCTTCTGAACGCATCGATAGAGCAACAACCGAGCACGTTAATTTCTTACTCTTCAAACTTCTTGACACTACAGCAGATTTTGCTTCTGACTCGCCAGCTATGACATCTGACAATTTATGCAGCGGGGCTCCCGCAGCTCTTTGCTTAGAGGAAGCTAGCCAAGTCATCGACCTAACGTCCTTTACAAGAACCAGTACGTGTGTAGCGGATCACAATCGACTATCTCCAAGAGCACTTAAACCAATGTTAAGACTCATTTACGTTCAAGACTGAAACTGTATTTAATTGTTTTTGTTGCGGCAGTGCCGCCATTATGAAAAACCTTAGGCTCTCCTAATTAATATAGTCATACCTAATTAGTATAGTAAAGCCGAATTAATATGAATTACTACTGGCAATTCTGTCACTTAGTGAGCTTCTTGTTACGGTGTAGCCACACCATTGTGTGATTACACCAACTTGTTTAATCCACACCTATGTACGGTCACACCATCTTGTTGTGACCCGACCTTTCATACAAGAGTACGTGTAAGCCCGTTACAGGGTTTGTGCGCTACTACCAGGACGGTAGGGCCATTAAAGTTCGCAATACATTAGTTGACTGTGGTTTTTAAAGAGTTTAGATATCCAGTATGCCAATATTACTGAATTTTCGAATAGAGAATCTCCCGTTCTAGGTAGGAGAGGTCGAGTTGGCCATCGCATCCGCCATGCTCCAGACCGAGCAACAGCGCGTGACACTAACCATCTTAAAGCTCGGTGTTCGAGCGCGAGAATGGGCACTGACGTGCGGCAGTTCGGTCGAAGCTGCCTTTCCCTTCTGGGCGGGGCTGAAATTGCAGCTCTCACGAGTGTTCTCGCCGCCTAATCAGGCATATCTTGTGCGATCGCGTTTCCTTGCCGCCTAATCAGGCATATCTCGTGCGATCGCGTTTTCTTGCCGCTTGACAGGGCAACAAGGAATTGGTGGACTTTATTAAAGGAATGCGCACTCTCATTGCCGGGACGACAGCAGATCCCCTCCTGGAGGCAGTGACTGTCTTTATGTAAGGCCTCCGCACTGGCGTGGCCAGAATGGAAGTCTCCAGTGTGCATTCATCTTCATTTGAAGAAGCGGTGAATGTGGCATTGAATGCCAAATTCAATTTCAAGTCGGCACGACTTGGTTGGAATGCACACTCCAACAGCTCGTCGAGCGGTTTTGGGCCCATGGATCTCAGCTATGCTGAGGACGAGGGAACAGAACTCCGAGCTACCGAGCAGCACACAACTATACGACGGTGTTTTGTCTGTGGAGACACCCGTCACCTTCGGAACGGTTGCCCCCTGCGCAAGGCGCGTCAGGGTTCTTCGAGCCACCGTCCCAATGCCTACCACTCTGGTTCGTCGCTGGGAAAAGACACCACCCAGTAGGTGCGGGGCAACCTGCTGGGGAAGAACTGAATTCTGTTGAGCCTCAGGGAGGAAAAGGTCAACAGGGCCCAGCCCAAAAGATCTCCTTGATCTTGAACACGGAACGTGTATGCAAGCGGGGCTTGCTGGTCGTGGAGACGACCGCAAAAGCCATCGAGATGCCATGGAAGATCCTCACTAATTTCGGAGCGTCGGGCAATTATGCTCGACGT